CACCTTCAGGTGGGGGGGATGGGCTCCGACTGTTGTTTGTGCCTATGTGCCAGACATAGAGTTCAGAGTATCCAGCCTTCTTGGAGTCTTTGACAGGCAGTGCTGGAAGATGCACCAGCTGGGGACACCTTTATTCTGCTGGGGGACTTCATTGACCGTGTGGGTAATGACAGTGTGACCTGGAGGGGCGTGACTGGGAGGAACGGCCTCTCTGATCTGAACCCGAGTGGTGTTCTGTTGTTGGACATCTGTGCTGGTCATAGTTTGTCCATCACCATACCATACCAATTTATTTATAGAGCACTTAAAACGGCAACAAGACCAATCAAAGTGCTGTACAATAGAAACAAGCACAGCGGACAGGATAACATAAAATAAAAATATAGATACAAACACGATCACGAGCACCATGTTTGAACATCAGGGTGTCCATAAGGGCACTTGGCACCAGGATGCCCTAAGTCGTAGATCGATGATTGACTTTGTAGTTGTGCCATTTGATTTGCAAGTGACTGTTTTGGACACTCAGGTGAAGAGAGGAGCTGAGCGGTCAACTGATCACCACCTGGTAGTGTGTTGCATCAAATGGTGGGGGAAGATGCCGGACAGACCCAGTAGACCCAAATGTGTAGTGAGTGTTTGCTAGGAACGCCTGGCAGGAGAACCAGTCAGAAAGATATTCAACTCACACCTCCAGGAGAGCTTTAACTGCATCCAAGCTGAGTCTGAGAATATTGAGTCAGTGGGCCATGTTCCGCACCTCAGTTGTTGAAGTGCCTACCTTGAGCAGTGGCCGCAAAGTTGTTGGTGCTTCTCGCAGTAGTCATCCTTGAACTCGGTGGTGGACACCCTGCGTTAGGGAGGCTGTCGAGCTGAAGGACGAGTCCTATCGGTCCTTGTTGGCTGGTGGGACTCTGGACGCAGCTGAGGAGTACCGGAGGGCCAAGCGGTCTGCAGCCTTCGCTGTTGCTGATTCAAAAGCTCAGATGTGGGAGAAGTTCAGTGAGGCCTTGGATAGAGACTTTTGGATGGCTCCAAGGAGATTCTGCCTGATCCTGAAGTGGACAGGAAGCCAGTGGAGAGAAGCCAGGACAGGGGTTATGTGTTCATGTTTTAGTTGCTGTTAAAAGACGAGCTGCTGCGTTCTGGACACATTGTAAACGATGCAAAGATGATTTGTCTAAACCAAAATACAGTGAATTACAGTTGTCCAAACGAGATGTAATAAAAGTGTGAATCACCTTTTCAAGGTCTCTGAAAGGAAGACAAGACTTCACCATGGCAATGAGTCTTAGCTGGAAGAAACTGGATTTCACAACTGTATTTATCTGTTTGTCTAATTTAAAAGCACTGTCAAAAATAACTCCCAGATTCCTGACATTGGAGTGGCTGTATGAAGCCAAGGGGCCAAGCACATTAAGGGTATTACATTTACCAAATCTGATGACTTCCGTTTTATTTTCATTTAGATTCAGAAAATTTAGTTTTAACCAGACTTTAATGTCATTTAGACAGTTCAAGAGTGGATCCAGTGAAGTGACCCTGTCTGACTCAATCGGAAGATATAACTGAGTATCATCAGCAAAGCAGTGAAAAGGGATGTTGGGTTTTCTAAAAATGGACCCCAAAGGCAACATGTAAAGATTAAAAAGCAATGGACCTAAAATAGACCCTTGAGGGACCCCACAGATCAGAGGAGCTGGAGATGAAGAACATTTCCCTAAATGAACAGAAAAACTCCTGTCAGTCAGGTAGGACCAGACGGTGTGCATCAATTACAGGGTATCACTCTCCTTATCCTCCCTGGTAAGGTTTATTTTGGGGTACTGGAGAAGCAAGTCTAATCATTGGTTGAAGCTCAGATCTAGGGGGAACAATGTGGGTTCTGTCCTGGCCGTGAAACACTGGACCAGTGTTACCTTCACTAGGGTCCTCGGGGGGTCATGGGAGTTTGCCCATCCAGTCTACATGTGTTTTATGGACTAGGAGAAGGCATTCGACAGTGTTCCTCGGGGTGCACTGTGGGGGCGCTCCGTGAGTATGGGATTGGGGGTTTGTTGTTATGGGCTGTTCAGTCCCTATACAAGTGGTACAAGAGTTTGGTTCACATTGCTGGTAGTATGTCAGATGCCTTCAGGGTGGAAGTTGGACTCCACCAGGGCTGCCCCTTGTCACAGATTCTGTTCATAACTTTTATGCACTGAATTTCTCGGTGCAGCCAGAGGGCGGAGGGATTCCAGTTCAGTGGCCTCAGGATTCATCTCTGCTGCAGATCATCTGTTGCAGATGATGTGGTCCTGTTGGCGTCATCATACCGTGATCTTCAGTTTTCACTGGAGCAGTTCGCAGCCAAGTGTGAAGCGGCTGGGATGAGAGTCAGCACCTCCAAATCTGAGGCCATGGTCCTAAACCGGAAAAGGTGAATTGCACGACTACAACTGGTCCAGAATGCATTTTTAACCAGTACAGGCAAAAGAGAGCACATTACACCAGTCTTGGCCTCCCTGCACTTGTTACCAGCTCACCTTTGAATCCAGTTCAAAATACTCATGTGTGTCTACAAATCAATGAACAGTCCCCCCCCCCCATCTCTCTGATCTGCTACAACCGTATGTCCCACCATGCTCCCTGAGGTCAGCGGACCAGTTGCTCCTCACAGTTCCAGGAACTCGTCTTAAGTGCAGAGGTGACAGGGCCTTCTCTGTAGCAGGACCAAGACTTTGGAACGAGTTACCTCTGCTTGTCAGACAGGCCCCCTCCCTCTCGGTTTTCAAGTCCTGTTTAAAAACTCACTACTATTCAGCAGCTTTCAACACCAGATGATCTGTGTTTGATCCTGTATGCTCCTCACTGGTTTGTCGTCATTATCTGCATCGTTTTTATGTCTATATTCTGATTTACCTCATTTTGTATTTTGCTTTGTGTGTTACCTGTTGTTCTGTCTGTACAGCACTTTGGTTGGCCTTGTAGCTGTTTTAAGTGCTTTATAAATAAAATGGTATGGTGTCTTCAGGTCGAGCGTGAGGTTGGATGAGTTCAAATATGTTCAGGTTTTGTTCATGAGTGAGGGAGGAATGGAGCGTGAGATTGACAGACAGATTTGTGCAGCGTCTGTAGTATTGTGGACTCTGTACCGGTCCGTTGTGGTGAAGAGGGAGCTGAGCTGTAAGGTTCTCTGTTTACTGGTCAGTCTACGTTCCTCCCCTCACCTCTGGTCATGAACTCTGGTAGAGACTGAAAGAATGAGATTGTGGATCCAGGAGGTTGAAATGAGTTTCCTCTGCAGAGCTGGACTCTCCCTCAGAGACAGGGGGAGAAGTTCAGTTATCAGGAGAGACTCAGAGGAGAACCACTGCTCCTCCACATCCAGAGGAGACAGTTGAGGTGGTTCAGACATGTCCGACTGGGAGGAGACTCTGGGGAAGACCCAGGACATGCTGGAGAGACTCTCGGTTGGTCTGGGAACACCTTGGAGTCCTCCCAGAGAGGTGGTTTTGGAAAGAGATGTCTGGACCTCCCTGCTCAAACTGCTGCCCCTGCAACCTGACTTCAGAACAAGTGGAAGATGATGGATGGATGGATGGATGGATGGATAAATGTTTAAACATTGACGGGAAAGACACAAATGTTTAATGTCAAAATGCAAAACATCCAATAATTTATGAACATTTGAATCTAGAACTTGTACTTCTGTCATGCACACGTGATTTATTGTCCAGGAATATTAGATATTAATGAAATATTGTGGGAAATTAGATATTTATATATTGTGTAGGAACATTATATTGTGTAGGAATTTTATGTAAATGATATATTGTGTACAAATATTCAATATTGATATATTGTGTATGAATATTGGATATTGATGATGGATTGTTTAGGAACTCTGTACACGTTATGGGTTTAAGACAGAAACTGCTTTGGCACCGTAAAATGCCTTCAGAACTTGTCCCCTGATGCTGAACGAAGAGGGGGACTGGAAATATGATTCATGCACGTTGTGAGCACGATGACTTGAACAATAAGAGAAGGACTGACTTCCATTTTGATAACGAAGGTGGAAGAAGGGGGCCTTTTGAAAATTGGGTTTCACTGTCAAAGTCCAAGATAGCCATTACACACACGTATACTATATGTACATACTGTATGTATATATATATATATATATATATATATATACACTACGTGTATATATGTAATACTTTTTTTAATGTGTGTTTGTGTAGATGTGTAAACCACCGTCCCCAGGCTGAATATTAATGGTGGTCATGGCCCCCACAGACACCCCGCCCCTCTCCTCCACCGCACCTGGCGCATGAAACGTTCCCCTCACGGGGTCTGTCGCTCCGTTGCCTTGAACAAGCTGAGAAAAAACTCTTTGAATATTTTGCAACAAAAAGTGTTTTATTTGTTTCATTCCCTGTTTCATCCAGAAAAACGTCCATTATTTTTATCCACTTCTTCCTTTTCGGGTCACGTGTCCACGTCCAGCAGTCACTGTGTGAGAGGCAGGGGACACCCTGGACATGTCTCCAGTCCATCTCAGGGACACAGAGACATTTCTTCTAATCCGTCACGTGTGCTTCTGTTTCTTTCCTGACTCGTTTCTTTGGGCTGGTTTATAAAAGAACTCCGTCGTGCTTTGGACATGAGGAAGATTTGACACCTGTGCGTCTTGAATCTTTCCAAACACCCGCAGTCCGGCGCATCGTCCTGGACCCGTTCGAGCCCGAATCTGGATCGGAGCCAGACCCGGTTCTCCGGCCACCCCCATAAAGCTGCCAGCACATCATCATCGTCATCGTGTGCCTTTAAGAGCCTCCTCTTCCTCAGAACCCTCACCATCCAGCCGAGCCGCCTGAGGAACCATGGAGACGTTTACGCGCAGCTCGTCCGCGCTCGGGTCCATCTCCGCCTCCAGCTCAGTTTTAGTTTGTTGATGAACTTGTTTCTTTTCTCTCTGTAGTTCCGAGTGGACATGAGCTGTTCAGCCTCTTAACATGAAGTTTCTGCCAGGTGGGATGTGGTTTTATGCGTCTGTAGCGATCTGCTGGTTCCCGACCGAGGTCCATGCGTCCTGGTGGTAAGTTCTGACCCGGTTCAGCCCAGTTGTACTAACACAGGCAGTAGTTACGCGTGTTTAACTAAACATTGATACATACTACCTTCTACTATAAAATCTTTCCTAACATTACTTTTGACAGGGGTGCCACCAGGGGGGGGGGGGGGGGGGCTGGAGGTGCACTGGTCACCCTTTAAACCTGGTGGCCAATCCACTGCCCCCCGACCAGTTTTATTCATTCATTCAAGCTTTATTTCTTCAGGTTAGTCTCAGTGAGCCTCGAGGACTCGTTGACAACAGAGACCTGATTTGAACAAAGAATGAAGAAACAGTTATAAAAAGGCACAAATATATATTTTACAAATAAGATGAGTAGCAAAAACTGCTGGATTCTAAGGCGATGTAGAAAACTAAAAACAGGAACATGTCCGCATCGGTCCCTGCCAGGAACTGAACAGATGTTTGAAGACATTTAGAGAGGTCAAAGGTCGAGAGCTTCAGGTCTTTTTACAAGATATTCCAGGAAACAGGAGCGTTCACATTAAAGATGTACCTGTCACTATTTTAGGTAAAATTTCAGAAAAGCAATTTATGGCATTTCAAGTGCCTGTAAAAACACAGACTCAATAAAACTGGACTTTGTGGAGCTAAACGGTCTGTTCAGGTCTGTGGACATCACAGCATCAGAAAGATAAAATAAGAAGCTGAGCTCCAGTCGGTGGAAAGTCCTGAACTCTCCTGTTGCTAAAGATTGAAAAACAGTTTTTACAGCAACAGCTTAATTAAGTTCATGAAATTCTTGTCTGACTTTTACTTCCAGTGTGCCACCCCAGGAGTTTCAGGGGCCCCACAAGGTGACCCCAACAATATATTTCTGGAAACGCCACTGTCCCCAGGCTCTAATAAAGTAAATGCATTAAGATATGTTTGCAGCTTGTTCAGGACAGGCTGTGGTTTATCGATTTATTTATTTCATTTTACTGACATGTTTAGGTATTTTTGGCAACGTGCTGATTTCTGAGTTCCATTTAGAAAATTTGCTGTGATTTTTGTGGACAGGTGTCTCCACTGGTCCTGTTGGACCTCAGTCCTGCATTTGATACAGTTGATCACAATATTTTACTACAGAGGCTTGAATATGATGTTGGGATTACAGGAACAGCTCTAAAATGGTTTAAATCATATTTATCTGATAGATTCCAATTTGTAAATGTAAATAATGAATCTTCATCATACACCAAAGTTAGTCATGGAGTTCCTCAGGGTTCAGTGCTTGGACCAATACTTTTACCTTACATTTTTACATCCACTTCATGTATGACAAGTTAAAAATTATAAATACTAGTTTGGTGATATGAGAAGAGAAGAATAAGAAGAGTTTTGGCTTTAGCATTTAGCAACGACTTTACTCATTCTTGCTTTTTTGTCCTTGTTAAGAACAAGGGTGATGTACAGAGTTGTAGCAACTACAGGGGAATTGAGTTGATGAGCCACACGATGAAGATCTGGGAGAGTCGTGGAAGCTGGACTTAGATGAGAGGTGACTATCTGTGAGCAGCAGGATGGTTTCATGCCCAGAAAGAGCTCCACATACGCCATCTTTGTTTTGAGGATGATGATGGAATACTGAGAGGGTCGAAGTCAGTTTCTTTATTGTCATTCGCACCACGTGGTAAATGTGTTGCGAATGAAATTATGTCCACAGGGTCCCAGTTACATTCAACAATAAAATGTAAAAGAAAAACAGAAATAAGATCTAAGATATGAACTAAGAAAAACATCAACTACAAATACACTAAACACTAATAGCATAAAACATTACGTCGAACAGCAGCACGAACATGAGTCTGTGTGAACAGATGAGCACGCATGAACACATCAACATGAAACTGATCAGCAGCAACATGAAATGATCAGCAGCAACATGAAACAGATCAGCAGCAACATGA